AGGTTAGCTGGACCTCCATTTTATTTTATTATTTTATTTTATTTTATTTTATTATTTTATTTTATTTTATTATTTTATTTTATTTTATTTTATTATTTTATTTTATTTTATTATTTTATTTTATTTTATTTTATTTTATTTTATTTTATTTTATTTTATTTTATTTTATTTATTTTATTTTATTTTATTTATTTAATTTTATTTATTTTATTTTATTTTATTTTATTTTATTTTTTTATTATTTTATTTTATTTTATTTTATTTTATTTTATTTTATTTTATTTTATTTTATTTTATTTTATTTATTTTATTATTTATTTTATTTTATTTTATTATTTTATTTTATTTTATTTATTTTATTTTATTTTATTTTATTTTATTTTATTATTTTATTTTATTATTTTATTTTATTTTATTTTATTTATTTTATTTTATTTTATTTATTTTATTTATTTTATTTATTTTATTTTATTTTATTTTATTTTATTTTATTTTATTTTATTTTATTTTATTTTATTTTATTATTTTATTTTATTTTATTTTATTTTATTTTATTTTATTTATATACCGCCCTTCTCCCGAAGGTCTCAGGGCGGTGAACAGCCATAATAAAAACAATGTACAAAAATAAAATTTAAAAGCAGATTAAAATAATTAAATCATAGGCCGAATTTAAAACTCTCATTTTAAAACCAATTTTTAAAACCCCATTAAAACCAAATTAAAATCATTTATCCCATCAGAGCGGCTTGCTGGAATAACAGGGTCTTCACTGCACGACGGAAGGCGCGGAGGTCGGGGATCCTTCGTATGTCCGGGGGTAATTCATTCCAGAGGGCAGGGGCCCCCACAGAGAAGGCTCTCCCCCTGGGGATTGCCAGTCTACATTGTTTGGCTGACGGCACCCTGAGGAGACCCTCTCTGTGTGAACGTACCAGTCGGTGAGAGGCAATCGGTGGCAGAAGGCGGTCTTGTAATGACCGGGAAGTCACTTGAGCCTGGAATTGTGTGGTACAGCTTGTTCTAGCATCCCACCTCTACTTCAGGGTGCCAAGAAATTGAACCCAAGTTAGTCACAATATTGCCTTGATTTGAAAACATTTGAATACACTGCGCTGTGCATGGTTAGCAACCGGAATCCCACTGGAGAAGTCACTGAGGACACAAATCCATAGAAGATGCCATTTTTGGGTGCACAAAAAGGGGGGGATTTGACACCAAGGTTTGATAAAAATCTCAAATCATGTTTCGTACAGGTAGACAAATGTAGCTGCTCTTGGTTTGCACAATATAAATGGCCCAGTGGTGAAATCTAAAATTTGTTATTACCGGTTCTGTGGGCGTGGCTTGGTGGGGAGGTAATGTGACTGGGTGGGCATGGCCATATTTTTTTTTTAAAAAAATTTAAACCATTTTTTCTACAACCTCTTTGGCAAAGAGGTTGTAAAAAATGCTTTCAAAAGGCTCTGACGATCCCAGCTGAGTTGCCTGATCATTAGAGGCATTTAAAAGAAAAAAACCCTCTGCCGATCAGGCAACTCAGCTTGGATCGTCAGAGGCATTTAAAAGAAAAAAAGGGTTTTTTTTCTTTTAAAAGCCTTTGATGATCCCAGCTGAGCCGTGCAATCATCAGAGGCTTTTTTTTTACTTTTAAAAGCATTTTTTTGGCCAAAGAGGTTGTAGAAAAAATGCTTTTAAAAGTAAAAAAAAAAAAGCCTCTGATGATTGTGTGGCTCAGCTGGGCATGGGGGAGGGGGGCAGGGATTTTTGCTACCGGTTCTCCGAACCACCCGCCTCCGTTGCTACCGGATCAGGCGATCCGGTCCAAACCAGGAGCATTTCACCCCTGAAATGGCCTCAGGTAAACTTCTATCTGGGATATCTAAGCTTCGTGTGACAGGGAACAGGTTGGTAGCACATATGCCCTTGCTAGCTCTTTAGCATTGCTTTGCATGACATTGGGACGCTGAGCCTTTACGTAATGTTGTCAGCCACACTGGCAAGTTCGTCTAATACACTCAGCCAAAATGTTGTTATGTGGCTTAAAAGAGAAACCAATTGGAGCTTGAGGATTGCTTAACAGAGTAACAGAGTTGGAAGGGACCTTGGAGCAGCGGTGAAATGCTCCTGGTTCGGACCGGATCGGGCAATCCGGTAGCGATTGTGGCCGATGGTTTGGAGAACCTGTAGCGATGGCGGCGCAAGGCTCCGCCCACCCGCTCTGATGTCGTTACTTCCTGATTTTAACCAGGAAGTAATGCGCAGGTGAGTGCACTTCCGAACCGGTAAAGAAGGTAAGTAGATTTCCCCCCTGCCTTGGAGGTCTTCTGGTCTGCTTCCCTGCTCAAGCAGGAGACCCCACACCATTCTGGACAACCTCTTCTTAAAAACCTCTAGTAATGGGAGCACCCACAACTTCTGGAGCGAGCCGTTAAGATTAAATCTTCCTTATGAATATTTTCATCTGAAGCTGCTCTTTTTTTTAAAAAAACCCATCATACGAAGCTGCCTTTTAGCCGCTGGATTCACACGTTTTGCTAAAACTGTGCTATGCTATACCGAGGTTTACCAAGTAGTTATGATCTGCCAGGTTCAAATTCATTTAAGCAAGAAAAAAATTAAAATTATGTTGAGTCGGTGTGGAGAGCAAATTTAAGATATTGTCAAAACCTTACAGCTGCTTTGCAGTAGGAATTTTGTGTTATTTTTAGATCAGCCAAAGCCTATGTGCTTTGCTGTTTAAACATACTATAATCAGCAGTGGCAGAATACACAACACACACACACACACACACACACACACACACACGATTGTGCTTTGCAAACTTGCAAGAAGTATTTTAAAATGTGTTTACCTTTATCAGCTCTTCCCTGGATTTTATCTCAAAGGAGTATTTATTGGTCTTGCCTGCTTTAGATTAAACTCATGTGTGCTCTTAATAGTCTTGCCTGCCTGCCTTTTTCTACAAACCTTTGGAATTCCCCCCCCCCACTTTTCCATGTTAATTTGCTCCAACCTCTGATGAGTTATTCACTTTTAGAGCCGTTTCCGCCTGAAAAAGGAGGCTGAAAAAGATGTGATTTATCCCCAACCCACCAAGGACAGGTCTTTAAAATGAAATAAGTTATATCGCTTAGAAGAGTCCAATTCAGTGAGTTATTGCAGTGAAGGAAATGGTTGCAGCTGGATATTAAAAATATTAGCAATAGACAAAGCAGAATTAGCTAAAGACGTTAAATGAAGAAATGCAGCATGTTCTGCAGGTTAAGGAGGTATCTTTTTTTCCACCAGTTTTGGTTAGACTCCAAAGTTTGAAAGCACACACTCCACATAAAATGTTACGTCTTTTGAGTGCACTCTGTTGGGTTTTCCTGTAGTCTTTTATACAGAAGCACGTAATGTTTGGTTTATCAGAGATGCAACGTTTGTTCTGCTTGATTGAATTTGCAGAAGGAAACTTAATAAATTGCAAGCAGTTCCTTCAAACAGTATTCTTCATTAGAATCGCATCACTGCTCTTTGACCAAGTTATACAGGGTAAACTACATTAAAATATTTCAATAGCAACAGCACTTAAGGCTTATATACCACTTCACGGTGCTTTACAGCCCTCTTTAAGCGGTTTACAGGGTCAGCATCTTGCCCCCAACAATCTGGGTCCTCGTTTTACCGACCTCGGAAGGAAAGAAGACTGAGTCAAGCTTGGGCTGGTCAGGATCGAACTGCTGGCAGCAAGCAGAGTCAGCCTGCAATACTGCATTCTAACCACTGCGCCATCATGGCTAAACAAAGCAAAATCTATGACAACAGTGTGAAATATATATTGAATAAAGTATAAAAATTGAACAGAAAGTGGGGAAGTTAAGATCTGGGTGTGCTAAAAATGAAACAGAAGCCAGTCTTCATTTAGGCCTCTCAAAAGAAAATTTCCAGAGGGCTTATTGTATGAAAGCATAAACAAAGTCTTAGGATACTTGGCATTTATCAAGGTCATAAAGGACACAACTCCTGGGCTGGATTCCAAGGACTAAATTTAAAACTTAATGGCATTTTTAGGGGATTTCTGTTCACTTGCTTTTTGCATTGCATTTCTCTTTTGAGATGTCATGGACTATGTTGTTTTGTCTTTTTCACATGTGGTAACTCAGGAAAACACCCTGCATGTGGTGAAATTGCTTTTAATTTACAAAAGATTATGCCAGAATTATTGAGTCTGTCGTCTGCACCTCTATAACTGTCTGGTTTGGTTCTACAACCCAACAAGACAGACTTCAACGGATAATTAGAACTGCAGAAAAAACAGTTGCTACTAACCTGCCTTCCATTGAAGACCTGTGAGTCAAAGAGGGCTGTGAAAATATTTACAGACCCCTCGCATCCTGGGCATAAACTGTTTCAACTCCTACCTTCAAAACGACACTATAGAGCACTGCACACCAGAACAACTAGACACAAGGACAGTTTTTTCCCGAACGCCATCACTCTGCTAAAGAAATAATTCCCTCAGCACTGCCAAACTATCCACTAAGTCTGCATTTCTATAAATCTTCTCATCGTTCCCACCACCCATCTCCTTCCACTTATGACTGTATGACTGTAACTTTGTTGCTTGGAACCTTATGATTTATATTTATATTGTTCCCTGATTGCTTATTTGTACCCTGTGACTATCATTAAGTGTTGTACCTTATGATTCTTGATGAACGTATCTTTTCTTTTATGTACTCTGAGAACGTATGCACCAAGACAAATTCCTTGTGTGTCCAATCACACTTGGCCAATAAAGAATTCTATTCTATTCTATTCTATTCTATTCTATTCTATTCTATTCTATTCTATTCTATTCTATTCTATTCTATTCTATTCTATTCTATTCTATTCCATTCCATTCCATTCCATTCCATTCCATTCCATTCCATTCCATTCCATTCCACCTCATACCATCGTATGCCTGGATGTGCAACTTTTTTTTTTTTAAAAAAAATCAAGACAACAAAGCAACCTTTCTTCTTTATTAAGAAACCCATAGGGCTCACATTTCAATACAAAGTACAATAATTTCAATTATTTTGCTTGCTTTGCACAGGAATTGAAAACATAACAAAACATGCCCTTTCATTATTGCGAAATCATTGTGCAATACATATATGATTAAGAAGCAAAATGTGTCCTGAGAAGAGAATGCAAAACTTTGCTTATTCAATTTTATACCGAGGCACAGCATGCTTAGGGCTATTTTCCCTTTCTTGTTTTAACAATATTAAGGCCACGCTTGACAAGGTAAACAATTACCTTGATTTGTGCTGATCTTCTCCTTTTGATATATGATCTTCGTAATATCAATAGCCAGCTCTTACTAGTATTTTAATCGGCCCCTGAAAGCACCAAATAATTATCATGGCTTCAACCTTTTAAGACGTGCATTTTGTACCATTTATTGCTCTTCAAGAAATTAAAAAAAGTTTAAGCAAGGAAACTTGGTTTCCTCTACATTTTGACTTGAAAAGCAAAACAAAAGGCATTTCGTTCTTTTTTAAGAAGGCCTTGGTGACGCCATTAAAGGGTTTGGTTTGGTTTTCCTCTTTTGGACTATCTTTCAAAGATATAAACAGAATTATTGGTTTGGAGAGCAAGAGGCAGGATTTGAAACGCATTTTCTTGCATCCCTTTTAAAAGAATGATTATAAGCCAACAAGTCAGTTTCCAAAGTTGTTGTGCAACCAAGTTGTGCAACTTCGTTTCTTCATAATGGAAGATGTACCTTGACCACCTGCAGAAAAGCAAGAGGCTATAATGTCCCTTCAAACCATTTCCCCCCTTTTTGGCAATCCCCATTTTGTTAACCACAGTTCAAAAGTAAACCTGGAGGATGGTCTTAGGGCTGGCAAAAGTTTATTTAATGGGAAGAGAGAATGGTTTCTAATCAACTTGGTTCTCTTTTCTCAAAAGGCTGCTCTTTAAACAGAACACCCGGCTTCATTTTTACCGGAAAACAAGCTTGTGCTGGTTGATTCCATTGCCTAAACTCAAGCTTGGAGAGTTGAAAATAGGTGGGCTTCAACTCCCAGAATTCTCCAGCTTAAGCTTGCCAAACTTGAGAAACACAGCTCGAGAGTACCTCTCTTCTTTTGGTTCTTCTAATGTAACAGTAAGAGTTGGAAGGGACCTTGGAGGTCATCTAGCCCAACCCCCTGCTCATGTAGGAGACCTGTAGTAGGGATTCGACCTGCTGACCTTTCTAATCACTGACTAGGTAGCCACTGAGCCACCTAGTCAGGCAAATGTCATGAAAGATTGGTAAAAAGTTAAAAAAGACACTCTTTGCTCAGTCATTATGTACAGGCCAGTATAAGGCGCTTCTATTTAGGATTCAGCTTGCAATCAGGGGTGTCAAAATTTGCAAGAGGACATATGCTGTGCCAACACCACACTTCTTTGTTTCAATTTGTCACCCTGTCCTTCATCTGGGCACGCGGCATAGAGCAGAAGTCTTCAAACGTGGCAGCTTTAAGGCTTGTGGACTTCAACTCCCAGAATCCTGGGAGTTGAAGTCTACAAGCCTTAAAGCTGCCGAATTTGAAGACCTCTGGAATAGAGGCACATCCAAAAATGTAGGGCATATGTGCAACAATAGAGATCGGGGTATAGATACTGTTAGTCCAAACATAAAACTTCTGAAAGACAATAGCAATAACAATCGCAATAGCACTTATATGCCGCTTCACACTGCTTTACAGCCCTCGCTAAGCGGTTTACAGAGTCAGCATCCTGCCCCCAACAAATCTCATTTTACCGACCTCGGAAGGATGTAAGGCTGAGTCAACTCTGAGCCTGGTGAGAATCGAACTGCCGAACTGCAGACAGCTGGCAGAATTAGCCTGCAGTACCGCATTCTAACCACGGCTCAAAGACAAAGGTACATAGTGCAGATGGCCACTGTGGCCTACCAATGAAGAAAATAGAGCATTTTTCACCCTGCCGAGCTATTGGTTTTAGTGCAGGTAGTCCTCGACTTACAACCGTTCATTTAGTGACCGTTCAAAGTTACAATGGTACTGAAAAGTTTTTTTCACGCTGACGACCGTTGCAGCACCCCTGTGGTCATGTGTTCAAATTCAGACACTTGGCAACGGACTCACATTTACAATGGTTGCAGTGTTCTGGGGGTGTGTGTGTCATGTGATGATCCCCTTTTGGGACCCTTCTGACAAGCAGAGTCAATGGGGAAGCCAGATTCACTTAACAACCGTGCTTCTCACTTAGCAACTACAGCGATTCGCTTAACAACTGCGGGAAGAAAGGTTGTGAAACAGAGCAAAAACTCACTTAACAATTGGTCTTGCTTGGAGACAGAAATTTTGCGGTCGTAAGTCGAGGACCACCGGTTTATGGATGGAAACACGGGCAATATTTCTGGACGTGAGTTGTAGTGCAAAGGCTATAAAAGGTTACAGTACAGAATTTTCCAGGAATTAAGAAAGAAGATTATAAGACTCTACCCTCAGAGCAAAGCACGGTGACCTGAGAAACAAATTAAAGAATAATTGCACCATAATAATTTAATCTTAAATCCACGTATCACAGTACCTGTAATTCATTTTTCATAAAACTTCACAGAAAATTATCTGGGTCTGTTAATAATACTCTCTCTCTATTTGGATTCTGTTAATCCTAAGAAAGGCAAGTTGGAATTTTCAGTGGAAAATATTTTTGGTCTCGACTCCCATTCCAGGAAGGAGGGAGGGATTTTTATTTTTACAGGATCTTTTTTATCATTCCATGGAATATATTCCTATAGAGTTTCATCATTCATTATGCAAGTTTTTAAAGAGTGCAAAAGCATCCCTCTTATGTTCAGCTTAGCTGATATTAAGTGCCAAAGCAGCTGCCACCTTATGCTTGCTTGTGTACATTGCTGCCATGCGCTGACAGTCTGCTATGAACTCTGGGAAGAGTTGAATGCTTGGGGGGAAAAGCGAAAACAACTGGTGTATCTCCCCGAGAGGCTGCTTCAAGGTCACCCTGCTGGGAGAAGGTAGCTGCATACCAGCCTATGCTTGAACTGATCGTTTTGAAAACATCTTGCTTGAATCTGATTGGTCATGGGGGGAGAGGTGGGTGGGTTGGCGATGGGAGACAGTTAAGGGAGGGAAAAGTTTAATTTAGGGATTTTGCTGTACAGTTCTCAGTTCTGGCTATGCTTGACTGCAATACACTTGACTTGCAATAAAACTATTACCTATCCCAAAGATCGGAGCCAAGGATTGTTTTTACGTAGAGGTTTAAGTCGTGGTGAGTCTGACACAGCATCTCAAGTTGCTGAAAAAGTCCTGATTTGGAAAGGGCTAGGACAGCCCAAACTTTCAATCATGCCACGTTGTTGAAGCAGGAAAAAAAAAAAAAGAAGAAGTCTCAACCATCTGAAGTGCGGAGCAAAGTGACTCTTGAAATCCAGCCTCGGCTCTAAAATTGCAATTTCCAAAGCTGGCAGTGATACCAAGCTTCTGCCTACGCAACCTTGCATAGAGAATTTTTAATATCACTGACTCGGTAAAAATATCACAGTATCGCTCCGTGATTATTAATCTTAGGAATGATATATCCGCGTGGAAAAAAAAAAGAAAGAATAATCTGCGGAGTCAAAAGCTCACATAATCTTGGTAGGGAGTTGAATGTTCCAGGCCAGAAATTCTTGTATCTGGATACAGATGCAAATATTTGTATTCCCAAAGGCAGACCTTCTGTAAGCTGGTTGTTTTACTGCTCTCTGAAATATCCTGAACACTACTAAGAAGAGGCACTACAACCTAAACATATTTTCTTCTCAGATATGGCCCAGAGTCAACATATAGGGGAGAGGGGTGGGATAAAAATTGAATAAATAATAAGTATCTGGCCCAAAAATGTCCAGGCTTCATTGCGTGGGCCAATGACTTCAATAACACATTCTTCCATGCTTCCCTTCTTGTTCAAGATTAGTTTTAGGTCTTCTGGTGCCTGCTCCAATTTTAAATTGCTTTAATGGAAGAAAATAAAAAAAAAAGCTTTGCTTCAAGCAGAGGCAGTAGGAAAAAAAAAAACCCAAACCAAAGCTTTTTGGAATCGCCCTTAATCCACGAGTGAAACCGGCCGATTGTCTTCTATTTCAGTAGGATAGGGGTCAATCTGCACAGAAAAATAGAAGGAGTATTTACTGTTTGGGATTCATGAATTGACATGAGAGTTGTTGAGGAGCTTTTGAGATTGCAATTGAGGGTGTCGGTTACCTCTGAATAGAGAGGAGGCGGCTGAAATCGGAATTCTTGGATGTAGGCGAGCATAGGACAACGCAGCTGTTCGTCACAATCCACCGAAGTCGGATAAACAGTAACATGCCTTGCGTATTCTTCCTCCGATACTATATCAGCATAATTGGGTGGTGCTAGGGAAACAAACACATGTGCATGGACATGTAACTCTTTATCTCCATCAAAGTAAAATCATGCTACAGTAATTTTCTTCTGCACACTAAGCTGTAATTATGACGACTGACGATCCAAAATGCAGCCATGATATAATTTTAGTGTAACATCAGCCCTTAAAGAGTGGCTTGAATTCAAAGAACAGACTAGTCATTCCTGGATGAAAAGACTAACAACGATCAAGAGCGGTTAAAATTACAGGCAGCAAACCTTACTTTAAATCTGTGACTTAAATAGTTTGCTACTGATCATTTCTCTCCGTATTTTTTTAAGCAACAGTACAAATCGAATAACTAAACCTGTCATTTATAAATAACACAGGGTGTGTATTTTACACGATTTTTAAAGAACTTGATATTGACGCAAGAACAAGTACTTGAGTCTTTTATCCAGCCTTGGATAAAGTTTTACAATAAAAATGTCTACCCCCTTTCTAGAGTATTCCAATCCTTTCCTAAAGAATCTACTTCCCTCCCCAATGGACCAACATGCTAGGGCCAGTTTCACATTAAGCAAGCTTGGAACAAAACTCTATTCAGCTTGCACTTTGTGCAAATTGGTATAGCCACAGAAACAACACTGAGAGCCCACTGATTTCAGAATAAAAAATTGTCAGGTCTGCCATTCTCAGCTGATTTTGCTTCTCTGGTATCCTGACATAAAACATGGGAGGGGGGAGAAGGGGGTGGTTATAGGGACAGACTGGCTGATCAGGGACATGAGCTTGAGAATGGAATGTGAAACTCCACCAAAGAGGTGCCAAGCCTTAAAGCTGTTACCAAAACACCTTAATTCAAATTCCATTGGGCACTCATGAACTGATCAAGGGGAGAGGGCCAGGGAAGAGGAGAATAGGCAGACTTTGCTTACGCCATAACCACTTGAGTTTAGTAAAAACAAACCTTTTGCTACAAAATGGAGTTGAGGGTCTTTCTTTCCTAAACGTTCAAGTTGGGACAAGCCTGACCAAGCTTTTATTGTGGGGTCGTGGTGCTCTCTGAGCTGGGTTGTTTTCTTGTAGACGTTTCATGACCCAGCTAGGCAACATCATCAGTGCTGAGAGTGTGCAAACCTTCTAGCACTGATGATGTTACCTAGGTGGGTCATGAAACGTCTGCAAAAAAATCACCCAGCTCAGAGAACACCAAGGATTCCACAGTTCAACCCTGAAATGCAAATCTTCTATTGGTACCATCATCAAATGATTGAACATTAAACAAAAACCAATTTCAATGTACATATTTTTAATAAAATAATTGATTTTATCCAACCTATCATAAAGCATCTCATCCAGTCTTAAAGGAGTGCCAAGAAAACTTGGCCTTGTATTTCAACAATCATCCTTTAAGATTTCAGTGAAAAACAGCAATTGATCTAGGCTTCCAAAAAAGCTTTTATAGACAAATTGATTATTTATCAGATTCACTCTCTCCAAGTCAAACACTTCCCTCAGTATACTAGCTTTCTTTTGAAATTTTTTCAAGATCTGTTTTTCCCTTGGAACTAGAAAAAATTCAGCCCCAAACGATGAGAAAAAATAAAGCCCAGGGGTGCACCTTCTGGATGATCTGGCAGTGACTGAGCCAGCCACCTCATATCCATAGCCAACTGGTTGATAAAACTTGAGTTCCTGCTGGAAAAAGCAGTGCATGGAATTGTGCCAATGACCAAAGGCAGTTCAACCATCAGCTTTTTGGCACCGGGAATATGAACATATACCTGTGATGAGAGAGAAGACATTTTAAACAATTTGCCAGAGGGGAATCAAGTTTATAATTTTCCAAGCTGCCAATGTCAGGAAATACCCACAAACACAGTAATTTTGGATGAAGCCTAAGAGTTTTGCAAAAAGAATCCCTCTCCAAGACATATCCTAGAGCTTTCTGGACTATTTCAGAAGACATTTTTTCACTCACTTCATTTAGTTGCCTTCTAACCGTGATGGCAAACCTATGGCATGCGTGCCACAGGGGGCACGCATAGCCATATCAGTGGGCACGCAAGTTCAGCTCCGGCACATGCTGATTTTCGGGCTTTTTGGGCAGAAGTAGGGAAACAAATTGTTTCCTGCCTTCAGAGGGCCTCGGGCGGGGGGGGGGGGGGGGCCCCATTTTTTTCTCTCACCTGGCTCCAGAGCCTCTCTAGGAGTCTGGGGAGGGCAAAAATGGCCTCCCCCCCCCCGAGGCCTCCAGAGGCCAGAAACGGGGAGAAGTTGCAAACAGGCAATTTCTGACTTCTGGAGGGCCTCCGGGGGGTGGTGGGGAAGGCTGTTTTCGCCCTCCCCAGACTCCTAGTGGCTCTGGAGCCAAGTGAGAGAGAAAAACGAGCCTACCGGGCCATTGTATGCCAGGAGTGGTGGGAGCGGAGGGGGTCATGCATGCATGTGCGGGGGCGGGGCGCATAGAATTATGGTTAGCCATCACTGCCTTATAATATTGAATCTCTTCTGAGTTAAGCTTCTGTTGACTCATGGACATATCTAGACAGCAGTATTAAAGTAGTTGAAACTGTCTGGTTTAGTGGTTAAGGTATCAGACTAGAAAACAGGAGACTGTGAGTTAAAGTCCTGCCTTAGACACAAAAGCCATCCCGGTGACTTTGGACCAATCCTTCTCTTTCAGCTCAAACCACCTCACAGGGTTATCGTTGCAGGGAAAATAGGAGGAAAATGTGCTAGATATGTTTGAATCTGTTATTTGTAAATGTGATAAAGGTGAGCTACAATAACCGCTTAAGGGGGGCCGAAAGCCCTACTAAGCAGGTATATACAAAAAGAATGAAGGCTATTGCTTAACGCATTGTAAGCCGCCCTGAGTCTCCAGAGAAGGGCGGCATATAAATCGAACCAATAAATAAATAAATAAACAAACAAACCTCCAAGGTCCCTTCCAGCTCATTCTATTGTATTCTAAACAAATAATGCTTTCTTTGGGAATATTTTTTAAGGTTTAAGGTTTTCAAATGCATCATCAGTCTTGAGGCCCTTCTTGCCCACAAGAGACCTAAGTCCAGCCTTCCTTGAATTCCGTTGACTCTTTTTTAAAAAAAAAAAAATTATTGAAGTTTTTTTTTAAATAAAAAATGAAATTTTTACAATTTTCTTCTTTCCAACATTTCCACATCAGTATTCATTTCTTATATATCCATTTTTCTCCATTTTTTTTATTTACTATCTATACATGTGAGTCTAATATTTATTTATACATATGAAAATATCAATGTACTAAATTGGAGCCTTGGTAGTACAGTGGTCTAAAGCACCCTGTTATTAAGACTGCAATTACTGCAGGTTCGAATCTCGCCAGGCTCAAGGTTAACTCAGCCTTCCATCCTTTCAAAGGTAGGTAAATTGAGGACCCAGTTTGTGGGGGCAAAAAGCTGACTTTGTATAAATATACAAAAGGATGAAGGCTATTGCTGAGCACATTGTAAGCCGCCCTGAGTCTCCGGAGAAGGGCGGCATATAAATCAAATTAAAAAAAAAAATTACAATCATGCATTCTATGTCTGTTCCATTTCTACATATTTGTTACTACATTCAAACTACATTCAAATTCAAATTCCACTGACTCTTATCTACCGCCAATTTGCCTTGACCATTAGTAGTTCAGATTCTTATAGCAACAGGAAATCAGGATTTTTCAAAGGTCTATAGCAATAGAATTTAAGATTATTTTACCCACCTCGGAAAGATGGAAGGCTGAGTCAACTTGGTGTCTTGTCAGGATCGAACTCCTGGCAATCGGCAGAATTGGCCTGCAATACTGCATTCTAACCACTGCACCACCATGGCTCCTTGTAGAGAATTTTAGCAAGTATGCCAAAGCTCTCTAGGAGAATCTGAACTACTAATGGTTAAGGCAAATTGGTGGTAGATAAGAGTCAATGGATTTCAAGGAGGGCTGGATCTCTTGTGAGCATGAAGGGATGTGAGACTAATGATGCCTTTGACCCCTCCCTCAGGCTCAGGCTGGTCATTTCCTACAGTTACAGCTTAGTCTACCACCAGAGGGGCAAGACAAGAAATAATGGGTGGAAGCTTGACAAGAGAGTACTCAACCTAGAAGTAAGAGGAAATTTCCTGTCAGTGAGACCAATTAATCAATGAAACGGCTCCAGAGATTTTGGGTGCTCCATCGCTGGAGGTTTTCAAGAAGAGATTGGATACCGTTTGTCTGGAATGGTATAGGGTCTGGAGAGGGTTGGACTAGAAGATCTCCAAGGCCCTTTTCAACAGATTGGTTTTATGTTTCTATAACTTTGTGACAGGGGTAAAATGTAAAATTTGTTACTACCGGTTCTGTGGGTGTGGCTTGGTGGTGGTGGTGGGTAATGTGACTGGGTGGGCGTGGCCAACTTTTTTTTTTTTTAACTTTTCAAAGCATTTTTTCTAATGCTTTGAAAAGCCTCTGCCGATCAGGAAACTCAGTTTAGATCGTCAGAGAGGCATTTTAAAAAATGCCTCTCTGCCGATCACGCAACTCAGCTGGGATCATCAGAGACTTTTCAAAGCATTTTTTTTACCAACTCTTCGGGCAAGAGGTTGCAGAAAAAAGTCTCTGACTATCCCAGTTGAGCTGCGCGATCATCAGAGGCTTTTTTTTTTTACTTTTAAAAGCATTTTTTCATCGGAAGAGATTGTAGAAAAAATGCTTTTAAAAGTTAAAAAAAAAAGCCTCTGATGATCCTGCGGCTCAGCTGGGCATGGGGGGGGGGGGGCGGCGCAGGGATTTTTGCTACCGATTCTCCGAACCACCCGCCGCCATCACTACCAGATCGGGTGATCCGGTCCGAACTGGGAGCATTTCACCCCTGCTCTGTGATCTTCTAGTGGTCTCCTACTAAAGTCCCAGTAGGCTCCATTCTTCTTAGTTTCTAAGGCTAGGCAAAATCAGCAAGATTGATTGTCTCTTGTGTTACAATCTATGGATCCCGACTGATTGAACCGAGTGAAAGCTATACTCACAGCCAAGGAATATTCCACTCTTATAATGCAGCAGTCAAGGATAGAAGGGGTGACAGGTGGAATTTTCAGAGTTTTGCCATTCCAGGTATCTGTGCTTCCTGAGGCAATGTGGTTTCCTCGCACGTTGGCAACCATTTGACGAAAAGTCTTTGTTTTCCCTCTAACTACGTAAGTCTGTATTTGGAAAATGGCAGCTTTCGGCACAATTAGCCGCGAGGAACAATTTTCGATTTCTGCATAAATTGGTATCACTTCACCTAGAGCCAAAGAAAAGAACCCAGGAACACTGAGTAAGTTATATTGTACCTACACAAGTCACAGCCTCCACCTTTGTAGAACAGTGTTTTCTTAAGTATGCCTTTGAACGTAGTAGTTATTGTCGGTAATATTCAAGCCAGGGAAAAAAAATCTAATTCTGCAATAGGCAACATGAAAAAAAAATGCCATATTTGTAAACTAATCTATTATGATGAAAAAGATTTGCATTTTTAGGACAGCTCCCTCTGGCTATTTTTTTTCCCCTCTTGTTTTAGTTCCTCTCTCTAAACTAACACATTGTAAAATGTAAGCACTCATTATGACAGTGGGCCTTAAGCTCATACTTGTTATGATGGAAATTAAATTGATTTAGTCACACGTATATAGGCTTACTAGATTTCTCTTTCTAAATCTGTTTTTGCTAGGAACCCAGGATTTCTATAAATTCATACAATAACAGCATTCACAGCATATTCCAAAGCCAAACATAATAGCGTGAAGGGAATATACTTACCATTACAAAACCCTTTCCTATCGATTTTGGCACTCAAACAAACTGGACCTGAAGTGAAAAACCAGCACCCAACCATTTTATCTTGAGTTTGTCTTACAGGACTCTGCAAAAAGGGGCAAGAATAAAAATCTGTGAATGCCTGTGGAGGTTCTCCATCATCCAGCTCATGGTTGTCCCAAAGGTGCTTTTTTTTTCAAGAGGCAACTGGACTTTCTGGTTTTTCTTTGAAGATGTTTCGCTTCTCATCCAAGAAGCTTCTTCAGCTCACAGGATTGGTCTTCTTCTTCAGAAGGAGAGCTGAAGAAGCTTCTTGGATGAGAAGCGAAACATCTTCAAAGAAAAACCAGAAAGTCCAGTGGCCATTCTAATCTCTGGGGGAATGATGTTCCAGAGAGAGGGAGCCACCACGGAGAAGGCCCTTCTTCAGGGCCCCACCAGGTGTACCTCCCTAAGGGATGGGAACTGCAACATGCCTTGCCTTGCCTGCCCGCTCTAGTGGTAGATGTGACCGGCAAGAGACGGTCCCTCATGCCAGCCATGTTGCTCTAATTCTCAATTTTTTAAAAAATTTGATTTATATGCCGTTCTCCGGAGACACAGGGCGTCTTACAATGCGTTAAGGAATAGCCTTCATACTTCTGAAAATTTTATACAAAGTCAGCTTATTGCCCCCCACAATCTGGGTCCTCATTTCACCTACCTTAGAAAGGATGGAAGGCTGAGTCAACCTTGAGCCTGGTGAGATTTGAACTTGCCGTAATTGCAGGCAGCTGATGTTAATAACAGTGCTTTAGTCTGCTGCGCCACCAGGGCTCTATATTCTTAGTGAGCTCCACAATGACTGTACAGGTTAAGTCCTTGATTTACAACCATTCATTTAGTGACCACTCAAAGTTACAATGTCGCCGAAAAAAGTGACTTATGACCGTTTTTCACACTTGGAACCATTGCATGGTTTCATGATCAAAAGTCAGTCATTTGGCAACTGACTCATATTTATGACGGTTGCTGTGCCTTGAGGTTGCGTGATCCCCTTTTGCGACCTTATGATAAGCAAAGTCAATGGGGAAGCCGGATTCACTTAACAACCTTGTTAAATGAACAGCTGTTTTTTTAAAAAAATTGTGGCAAGAAAGTTGGTAAAGTGGGACAAAACGAACAATTCTCTCACTTAGTAAACAGAAATTTTGGGCTCAATTGTGGTCGTAAGTCGAGGACTACCTGTATTGCAGAGTGGAGTTTTTAATTTTTGGAAGTAATATTTTTGGGAAAGATACATGGTCCTCTCCACCCTTCCCAGTTGCAGTCTGCATGAAGAACACAAATCCACACCCACACATACACATCCCTGAAGCACTTACTAGCTCATTGTCCTCTGACGCAGCCATCAGATACCTCAGGTTGGCAATCAATATTGGTTATTAGGATCACCAAAATGACATTATTGCAAAGGACTGTGGAATATTAAATGCATCTTTTCTGGAGTGCATGAAAGGAACTCATTGTCACTCTGCAGATTTGGGATTCTGATTTTCGGAGGGTTAAGAAATGAAGACACAGGAAAAAGATCTGCTTTGGGCACGGGGTTGGACGAGAACAGGGGTGTTGAACTCAAGGCCTGGGGGCTGGATCTGGACCATGGGGTGCTTAGATCTGTCCCATGGGGCCACCCTGAAAACAGATCTGGCCCATGGTGCCTCTGCCAGCGAAAATGGAGTTTTTGCTGGCAGCGGGTTGCAGAAAGCTGTTACAGCCGAAAATGGAGCTCGCAAGGTTTGCGAACTGCCCTCCCGAGCTCCATTTTTGTTGGCAGAGGGTTGCAGGAGTCTGTCACAGCTGAAAACAGAGCGCTCGGGTCACCACAGGTGCCCTAGACACGAGTGACATTGAACTGGCCACGCCCCCCCCCCCGGTCCCCCCAAGGTCAAACACAACCCTGATGCAGCCCTCAATGAAATTGAGTTTGACACCCCTGGACTAGAAGATCTCCCAGGTCCCTTCCTGAAAAGACATACCCTACTCCTTTCTCTATAGTAGAAATGCACTCTGCTTTGGACACCTTCCTAAGGAGCAGTGGTGGGTTGCTCCCGGTTCTATAGAACCGGTAGTAAAATCGGCGGGAGGATCCGCCCACCCGCCTGGATGTCATAAATGATGATCTGCGCATGCGCAGAAGCTTCTATGAATGCACGCAGCCCTGTTGCGAAGTGGTAGTAAAGGTAAGTAGAAGCCACCCCTGCTAAGGAGCATGTGGTTTTTACAGCTTATGAGTCCTGTTTTCCATTTAAATGGAAACAAAGGTTACCCTATGGAAAAATGCTACTTTTCTTTAACAATAGAGTGGAAATGAAAACAAAGGAAGTTTATTTATTTATTTTTAAGGTTACTCTTCTGCTTTCTTTCTCGGTGGCTTGAGATTGCTGGAAAGTTTCCAAGGTAACTCAGAGACTTTCTCTGCTACTATCATTGGTTTTTCTAGTTGCAAACAAATATTTTGAAAGGGAAGCCCTTTTCTTTTCTTTTCTTTTCTTTTTTTTTGCAAGAGCTCTGCAATTCTTTGCTACCGGATAGGCGTAGGTTATCTTTTCATAATATTAGCACGCTGTGCTTGGCTTTTCCTTCAAATGAGGTGTGAAACTGTCACAGAGACAAGCCAATTGCCAGCGTCCTAACTCTGATCACGTGACTGCGGGGATGCTGCAACTGAGCGGGCTCTCGGGGTTATTTCTGTGACTATACCTGTAGCAGGTGGGTCCTTGACTTACAACCGCAATTGAGCCCAAAATTTCTGTTGCTAAAGCAAGACCGTTGTTAAGTGAGCTTTGCTCCATTTTACGATCTTTTTTCCCCACAGTTGATAAGAGAATCACTGCAGCAGTTGTTAAGATAGTAACAAGGTCGTTAAGCGAATCTGGCTTTTCCACTGACATTGTCAGGTGGTCGCAAAAGGGGATCATATGATCCCGGGACAATGCCACCGTCACAAGTCAGCTGAATTTTGATCATGTGACCATAGGGATGCTGGAACGGTCATAAGTGTGAAAATTGGTCATGGGTAACTTTTTTTTCAGTGCCTTTGGGACTTCAAACAGTCACTAAATGAACGGTTGTAAGTTGAGGACTATCTATATGAAAGATAAATAACTACAGGTAGTCCTCGACTTACGACCACAATTGAGCCCAAAATTAATGTTGTTAAGTGAGAAATTTGCTAAGTGAATTTTGTCCCATTTTACGATCTTTTTTGCCATACTTGTTAAGCAAATCACTGCAGTGGTTAAGTTGGTAAGCTGGTTAAGTGAATCTGATTTCCCCCATTGACTTTGCTTGTCAGAAGGTCGCAGAAGCGGATCACGTGACCAAGGGACACTGCACACGTCATAAATATGAGCCAGTTGCCAAGCACCTGAATTCTGATCAGGTGACACCGGTCGTAAGTGTGAAAAACAGCCATAAGTCACTTTTTTCCAGTGCCGTTATAATGAACTGTTGTAAATTGAGGACTACCTGTAATTATAATTATTATTCCCCAGCTAACTATTCCTGAAGAAGGTTTGAACTTTGCTCTGCAAATGTCATTACTGTGAGAAAACGAACTCCATGCCAATCTGGGCTGCTGCTATTCAAAACCCTTCCTGAAGCATCTTCTGGCAGGACAGCTGTGATGTGATCAACGGCATTTAAAAAGAAAGAGAAGAAGCCAAAACTCTTTGCAATTCGCACCCCCGGGGCTATCTATTTATAGAGGAAAACCTAGAAGGGAGCTCACTGGAAAGGCAGCGGAGGAACAGTCCAAAATAAGAAGAGATTTTCTGACTGGGAGAACCATCAACCAAATGGAACAGAAGTTGCCTTCAGAAGTTGTGGGAGCTTCATCCCTGGAGGCTTTCAAGAAGAGACTGGGCTGCCATCAGTCAGAAATGGTGTAGAGTCTCCTTGCATGGAGGGTTGGACTAGATGACCTACAAGGTCCCTTCCAACTCTGCTATTGTGTTATGTTGAGACTTTGGAAAGAGTGCAAAGAAGAGCACAAAGAGCTAAAACATATAAAGAACGGTTGCAGGAACTGGGCATGGTTAGTCTAGTGACAACACATGATAGTAGTCTTCCAATATCTGAGGGGCTGCCACAGAGAGGAGGGGGGTCAAGCTGTTTTCCAAAGCACCTGAAGGCCAGACAAGGAATAATGGGTGGAAACTGAACAAAGAGAGACTCAACCTGGAAATAAGGAGAAATTTTCTGACCGTGAGAACAATCAACCCATGGAACAGAAGTTGCCTTTAAAAGTTGTGAGAGGTTCATCACTGGAGGCTTTCAAGAAGAGACTGGACTGCCATCTGTCAGAAATGGTATAGAGTCTCGTGCTTGGGCAGGGGGTTGGACTAGATGACCTACAAGATTCCTTCAAACTCTGTTAATCTAATGTAATCTAATCACGGGCCAGGCTGCAGCTGGGGACAAAGGAGTGTGTGAAGGGGCTATAGATGACCAGGCTGAGCGACTCCGCTATGGTTCAATAGGCTGTGTGGATGGTCTGCAAAGTGCATTATATCGGATTGTATGATAAAGTCATTTTTTCCTGCCTTGTCATTTACTCTAAATGAACTGTTGTAAGTCAAGGAGTAGCTGTACTCCTTTGAATTGGCGGTGCGGTGGACTAAACTACTGTTAAAATAGCACTTAGCTGCCAGCTGCCTGCAATTACTGTGAGTTCAATTCTCACCAGGCTCAAGATTGACTCGGCCTTCCATCCTTCCGAGGTAGGTAAAATGAGGACCCGGTTTGTGGGGGCAATAAGCTGACTTTGTATAAAATAGAACACCACTGGAGGGGGGGGGCAAAAGCCCTACTAAGCAGGTATATACAAAAGTATGAAGGCTATTGCTTAACGCATTGTAAGCCGCTCTGAGTCTCCAGAAAAGGGCGGCATATAAATCAAACTAATAAATAAATAAAACTGCCTGAACCTCCCGATTTCCCCGGGGCTTGACGTGGGCTGCTCTTACCAAGAGAAGAGGAGAATTGACATCAATGTGGCTGATCACTTGAAACTCCCTCGACACCGTCAGATGGGGGCCGCTGGCGCTTTCCAGGGTTACGTTCACAAAGTACTGAATGCTGCCGTATTTCCCTGCGAAAGAGGTCGCCAAGGGGCTGAACACGAGACAAAGAAATGGCAAGTTTAGCACATTTTTCTTGGCGGAGCCCGACTTGTCCTAGGCAACTGTTTACGACTTTTTCCTGCTCAGATGCCAACACCACAAGGGAGCTTGTGAGATCCCTTGTGGTTGTTGGCAGGCATGTTTACGAGATGCTCAGGGGTCATGAGAGATTGCCGTGGTGCATTCCACATGACGATGCGTGAACAAATTATGCTGAACAGAATTCAAGATGCTGGCATGTTATGATGGCTCGGGAGGCTGTTTAATTTGACCCCTTACTTGTGGTCAGATAAAGTGTGAAGCCCCAAAAGGCGGCTGCTCTGTGTAGTTGCTCCAGGAAGGCTTAACAAAGTTATTTTGAACTCTTAATGCATATCGAACATCAAGTAAAATGCATGTTACTGCGACACTATCATAGTTTATTTTTTTTTTATAACTGGCAACAAATACTAAAACATCTGATACACAGAAAACTTTCTGGTGTATCTGTCTATGGAGATTCTCGGTCATCCAGGTCATGGTTGTCCCAAAGGTGCTTTTTCAAGAGGCAACTGGACTTTGTTGTTTTTTCTTTGAAAATATTTCGCTTATTCTTATCCAAGAAACTTCTTCAGCTCTGACTTGATGGTGAGGAAATATAGACTTTCTGGTGTGTATTTCCAACTATTTAAATCTCTATTTGATTCATCAAATAATCAACCTTAGCGAAGAGCAGAAGTAAAAAAAATAAACGCTACTGCTAGCAGCAAATTTGGTCTGCTTGAGTTGTTCTCCTAATCACATTTTCCTTCTTTTTCCAGCAAGGTTTCTCAATCAGCCTAGTCTATGCAAATGGTATTCAAGTTTATTTAAAGCTACAGCTATTCATAGAATTGGGACTTAAGGATTTCGTCTTTATTCAAACTGCCGAATATACCTTTGCTAAATCTGCATTTGTGCTGCAACACAGTTTAATTGTATTCTATATTGCCTCTTCCACATGAAGAGTGGATTAGATTAAATTAAATTAAATCGTGCACTCCTCGCTTCTTGCTGTCATTATCAAGGATAAAGTTACGATAGTCCTAAAGTCCAACTTTTTGCATTTAAGGATTTACCAGGTACTCACCATTAGCTTTTTTTTTAAAGCCTTTTTAATACAATGCAAATCAAAATTAAAATCAGGATCATGCCAACAGAGAGTACTGTCTAATCCACTTTGCATACTGTTGGTACAATGTTTACAGAGATTCTGTGAGAACATTTACAGTGAAAACCAACATTTCAGTTTAAGTGGTGTCACTTACTGGAGAGGGAGTTGAAAACTGAAAGGGAATTCGTATTTCCCAGCTTCTAAAAGGATGAAGCCTTCATTACCTATAGACGAAATAAAAAAAAATATTATTTAAAATCATGCTTATTAATCATAGCCATTATTAAAAGCCCTCAAAGAGTGAAATCAGTAATAAATCTATGGGGTTATTAAATAAAATTTTATTTGCTTCTGCTGATAGGCAACAATTATGACAGAACTAAAATTAACTTTGGACAACCTTTTAATGAAAAGAAGGACTAGGTGCGACATGATAGCAGGGTTCCAATATCTAAGGGGCTGCCCCAAAGAAGAAAGGGTCAAGCTATTCTCCAAAGCACCAGAAGGCAGGACAAGAAGCCACGGATGGAAACTAATCAAAGAGAGAAGCAACCTAGAACTAAGGAGAAACTTCTAACAGTGAGAACAATTAACAAGGGGAACAGCTTGCTTCCAGAAATTGTGGGTGCATTTGCTTAACGTCCACCACAAAGGAAGGTTGCAAAAGTGGATCGGTCATGTGAGTGATCTGTTTTATGACTGTCACAACCTATGACTGTAATGGGCAGGATCCATTATGATTTGTAAGTCAAGGACTACCTGTACTTTCCTATTCAGCGATTCTATTTTAGTTGCGTTAAACCCTGGTTTCTTACTGTTATTTGAATAAACTGAGGTGACATTTCCAACATCCAGCTGAACCATGCTGTGGGCAGAGGCAGGCTGGGTTGTAAGGTCTCTTACTTTTCTTTATACTTTATTTGGTCAAGTGTGATTAGACACATTTGTTTTTGGCAGTTGTTTGCTCTCCAAGCTTGTTTCAATTTAAATTCTGAATGTTTTGTTACCAGACTAGGTAACATCATCAATTTTGTCCTATTCTCTTATAAATGTCTTATAAATGTCTTGTGTGCCAGTGTGGTCATGCAATTGTTTGTTCGTTTGGAGCTTTCTTTAAATTCTGAGCAGCTGATTGGTTCTCTGGTTGATTGACATATTTGTCTCTGGTGCAGAAGCTCTCTGTGTACATCAAAGCAACAGAATAATGATACTTAGTAACTGCAGTACTTTGCTTAACAACTGTGGCAAGCAAGGTCATAAAATGGGGCAAAACTCATTTAACAACAATTTGCAATGGGAATTTTGGGCTCGTTGTGGTCGTAAGCTGAGGACTACCTATACTGCTTTTATTCCTTGCAAGATCCTCAAAAGACACGGCCACTGGAGCGAGAGAAAGCAGAGTGAAAAGGGACTGCGGGAAATTCTGCACGGTCAGTGAGAAGGGCTAAACCATTCTACAGACCTTTTCCTATCCAGCGAAGGCAGGAAACCCTTCAGAGATCCTTCAGAAACTGCTGGGCCCCACAAATTGGGACAGGTTGTGCTGAGGAACACAATGTTCTGCTGTAGTTCTGCAACATCTGGAAGAGCACAGCTTCTTCAAGCCAGACAATGTAAGCAAACATTTCAGAACTCAATTAACATTACAGAAAGTTCTCCCATGCTTAGCATGGGAGGTTTGCATTTTCTATTCTCGACACCAAATTGCGCAGGTGAAGAGATGAGCTACTGAATCTTGTATGGAAGAGAGACAGGCAGAAACAGAGCTATGCGTGTTTGCCTTTGTGTTTTGTCTTTTCAAAAGGGAAAAACATTTGTGATGTCACTTTATGCAGAGAGAGTTTTAAACAAAGCAATGAACTTGACTGAAGTTAAATTGGATAACATGAATGACAGGGAACTAATTAGATTTTAAAGTTGTAAGCTACCCCAAGGGCAGCTCATGCCTTACAAGGGTATCTATGAATGGAAGCACTCCAGTGACTTGCACAACTGCAATGACTTCCTGCCAATGTAAAGTAGCCCAATAGTTGAAAATCTTTGTCTAAAAAAAGTCAAGTACAAGCCAGAAATCCTGGCTTGCCTGAGAAATTTTCTTCTTTTGAAGGTTTGTTTTCCAACCCGTTCAAAGGGAAGGTCAAGGCTAGCCAAAGGGCTCTTCACTCACATTACAGGTAGTCCTTGACTTACAACAGTTCATTTAATGACTGCATAAAGGTACAATGGTACCAAAAAAAGTGATTTATGACCATTTTTCACACTTACAGGTGTTGCGGATCCCCATGGTCACGTGATCAAGATTCAGCTGCTTGGCAATTGATTCATATTTATGACGGTTGTAGTATCCCAGGGTCATGTGATCACCTTTTCTGACCCCCTGACAACCAAAGTCAGTGAGAAGGCTAGATTCACTTCACAACCATGTCACTGACAACTGCACTGATTCACTTAAAAGCTGTGGCAAGAAAGGTTGTACAATGAGGCAAAATTTACTTAAATGTCTCACTTAGCAACATAAATTTTGGGTTCCATTGTGGTCGTAAGTCAAGGACTACCTGTATTGCACATTAATCAACCTTTATTCATGCATTAAAGTGCAAATAAGGGGGCCCCATCTGATGAAGGCGATATTAAAAGAATTTCATTCCTCCTGTGTAGAGAAAAGTCTACAGAAGGGAGCAAGGGAGCAAGGAGGGAAATGGGCACCACGTGCCAAATCTTGTGCTTTGCTTGAAGTACATTGCCATCGATTTCCTATGCTGTTTTAAAAAAACGGGCTGAAACTGGTTTTTGGATAGCTACCTGGCATGGAATGAAAAGCCAACTTCATGCAATATAATACCTTCTTTTTAAATGGATAACTTGTACTATTTTTAATTCCATTTTCTTCAGAGAGAGAAAAAAAAAACGCTTCTATTTTTTTCTATTTTCTAGGCATAGGCAGGGAGATTCTAAATCTCTTGCAGTCACTTGACAGCAACTTCTAATGAAGGCAAGGATACGTTAAATATGCTACAACTGCTGGGGATGCAAATGGGCCCAGTTTCACCCAATATAGCTGCCAGTGAGAACACAACCTTAAAATAGAAGCTGCTCAGAATCAAAGCCTCTGGAGAACTCTGCTTGCTCTCTTCCCAGATAGATGCCAGTAAATCCTGGAAAATTCTATTAGGGAGTCATATTAACATGTGAAATAAAATTCAGCAAAACTCTACAGGACCCTAAAAGACCAATGAAGTTATTTTGGCAAAGAAAACCCAAGATGCTAAAGCTTCTAGTGCTTTTAACAGTTGTGTAGGAGACTTAACCTCTACAGGCCCTTCTTTGGCACCCCCTGGAATGACTTATGGATGGGAGGTAACTTCATTCGTTATAGCAATAAAATAAGAAGGAATAAGATAAAATAAGACTGGTAGCTACATACACACCTCTACCTAGTTTACCAAGAAAATTAGGTAGAGATGTGTATGGAGTTACCAGGGATCAGACTCAACTCATGAGAATCATTGCGGATAGTCCTCGACTTACAACAGTTCATTTAGTGACCAAAGTTAACAACAGCATTGAAAAAAGTGACTTATTTTTTTACACTTTTACACTTACGGCCATTGCAGCATTCCCATAATCCCATTGCAGCATTCCCATGATCAAAATTCAGATGCTTGGCAACTGACCCGCATTTATGACCATTGCAGTGTCTCCAGAATGATATGAGAATCTTTTGTGACCTTCTGACAAGCAAAGCCAATGGGGAAGCCAGATTCACTTAGTAACCATGATACTAACTTAACAACTGCAGCGATTCATTTAACAAATCTGGCAAGAAAGGTTGTAAAATGGGGTAAAACTCACTTAACAAATGTTTCACTTGGCAACATAAACGTTGGGCTCAATTGTGGTCGTAAGTCGAGGACTACCTGTTTTTTTTTCCTAATTTCAAAAATTATTCCTCCAATTCAGTTGGCATCAACATTTTCAATTCCTTGGCACATGCCTTTCTCCCTTGTACCAGGGATCCTCTCATCAATCTCAAGCATTTTCTACTACAATCTGGAATTACAGAGGATCTATCAACGATAACAGTAAACAACCACGGGGATACATTCCTTCCTTTCAAATCTTCCTAGTAAGTAATTTTTATTACAGTCCCAGACCAGCATTACAAATAAAAAGCATTAGAACATAGATTTACAAATTGGAAGGAACTTTGGAGGTCCTCTAGTCCAACTCCTGCTGAAGCAGGAGACCCTACACCATTTCAGACAAATGTGCAGTTTCTTCTTAAAAGCCTCCAGTGATGGAGCACTCACAACTTTTGAAAGCAAGCCATTTCACTGGTTGATTGTTCTCAATGTTAGGACATTTCCCCTTAGTTTAAGTTGCTTCTCTCTCTGATTGTTTCTTGTCTTTCCTTCTTGGGCTTTAGAAAATAGGTTGACCCCCCCCTTCTTTGTGGCAGCCCCTCAAATATCGGAACGCTGCTATCATGTCACCCTAGTCCTTCTTTTCACTAGACTAGATATACCCAATTCCTGCAACTGTTCTTTGAATCTTTTAGCCTCCAATCATCTTTGTTGCTCTTCCCTGCACTCTTTCCAAAGTCTCAACATCTTTTTTGTAATGTGAATGCAGTATTCCAAGTGCGGTTTTACTAAGACTTTATAAGTACTAATTCTTCATGTGATAATAATCATAAAAAAGACAAGATAATGTATTGCAATTAGTGATGGATTTTCCTTGTCAAAATCTGCCTAATTTTGCAGACAGTACAACGAAATTGGGTACATTCAAAGAGATCTCTCCAATCTTCCTAGCATGTCTCTGAGTATTGTCCTCTGAAAGGAACCCATTGATTTGGCATAATTCAGAAGGAAATGACAGACTCATGCTCTTCAATTAAATCTTGGCTTCAGCCAGTTTCCCATGGAACTAAATGAGCTGCCCTTCCCCATTTTAAGAACTACAGATTCCACTTCTTGAATAACAGCAGCATGTGTGCATATGTGAATGACTCTTCATTTCCTTCCTGGCTCAGCTGCCAGCACCTTTATTTTGGAGAGCCGCTGAGAATTAAAAAAGGCAGTGGATGATTGTTTCTCTGATGCTACATAAGATGGTGCTTTAGAATGCTGCGATTATTGTTATTTTGGAAGCTTTTTGACAGAAAGACAGCCACCATTTCTGCTTGTTTCTCTCCCACCCCGGCTCCACCCAAGCTATTCCTCTACCCCTATCCTTTCTCTTCTCCTCCTCTCCACTTCACGTCTGATTAACTGAGTCTGCACGTCATGAACCCATTCCCATTTTATTTATTCATCCCATACCCATTCTGTCTATTACCAACTGGCTTTATCTTAGCTGGCTGATCTTTAAATGGCTTTTGCATTATTTAACCAGAGGAGGTATGATTCAGCGTGCGCACTACGAAAGCAGGATCCCAATTGTTCCAGAGAGCCAACAACTTGTTTACAGAGTCGCAGGGCAGTTAAAATAAATTTTTAAAAAATGAAAACGCTATAAACAGTCGTTCTGGGGCTTTTCCCCAGCCTCGATTAGACAAGCTCCAGCCTCATCAACCTGAATTTTCCCCTCCAGATTATCAATCCTCGCAGGGAGATTTATTGCTTTCTTCTGTTCCTATAAATAAGCCTGGCGAGCTGGAAGAACGGAATGTTTTCCATTTTGATCTTCTTTGTGGGACACGGCTGCACTCAGAAATGGCCTATGTATTTCCACGTATAAATACAAAAAAAATTACATAAATGTAAAATGCAACAGGCCGAAAATGGAAAATACGTAATCAGAATCGATACCGATAACTGAACGCTATAAAAGTGGAAATGTGATTTTAAAACTAAAAAAAGTTGAATGAAGATTATAAAAAAAAGAAGAAAAAAAAAGAAGAAAAATGGCCTTCGAGAGCCTCTCTAATGGCCATCCATGGCCCTTCCTCCTGGTAGTACATGCATGCGCACTCACAAACAGCTTTCCTTCTCCCCCCCCACTGAATTCACCCTCCATCATCCACAGCCCAGAGGACCATGGGAACTGTAGTCAGGCGCAGCCCCAAGACTGCTGGAAAAAAAGATGGGAGGCGAGTAGAAACGAGTAACCCCTTATGCCAAACCCTCCATACCAGCCCAATACTAGGAGAGATCAGCTTGTCATCCTGCAGTCTCCTGGGGACTGCAAGGCCCATCATCCCCCGAACAAGGGCAGAGAGTCAGCAGGGGGGTAGGCAGATGCAGGCGAAATCAACGAAGGAATAATGACTCCGGGGGACTCCGCTACCCAGCCAAACCCTTTCCCCTCCCCTCCCCACTCCATCCCAGCTCCATCGTAGTACGACCGGCTGGGGATGATGGGATTTTTGGTCTCTGGGGCGAAAAAAAAAAAAAAGCCGCTTTCGAGTGAGGGGAAAAAAAGGAGCTGCGGGAGGAGAACTAAGGAGAGGAGCTCGACCCGCCCGCCCGACTCAGGAAGTGGGGCGGCCGCGGACGATGGGGCGTGTAGTCCTGAGCCGGCGGGGCGGCCGCGGACGATGGGGAGTGGAGTCCCGCCTCTCCGACTTGATGGGGGGGACGGGGCAGACGGGACTTTTGCCGAGAGGCTCCTTGATATGAAGCGCCAGTGCCACCCGCCGCGGCCGGGGATGATGGGGGCGGTAGTCCTCACCCGCCGCGCCTCCCTCCCTCGGCTCACCTGCCAGCAGCAGCTCCCGCCGGGCTTCCAGGTAAGGCACCTCCGCTTCCAGACGGGTCCCGGTCGCCTGAGGAGGAGGAGGAGGAGGCGGCGGCTGCATCGGCGGCGCTTCGGTCCAAGCCGCCCGGGCTCCCCCGCAGGCCTCGAGGCGGAGAGCGCGGAGCCTCAACGGCGCCGCCACCTCCAGCGACACCTGCCCGGAGACTTCCTGGCCGCCTCGGTAGCCCTGAGCGCCGCCGGACGCCTCGCTCAGCGCCACCGACAGCGCCTTCACCGGCGGCAGCGGCAGCGGCAGCAGCGGCCACCCGCGGCCCGCCATGGCCGCCGCCTCAGACGGACTCGCCGCCTCAGACGACGCCGCCGCCGATGCGCAGGCGCCCCGCCTCTGCCCCCCCACCTCGCCCACCCCCCGCGAAAGAGCGGCCGGCCCAGCCAACCCCGGGACGGGGCCGTGGCGCGTGAGCCGCGCCGCCATTGGTCGCCCGCGCGACAGGTCGGGCCGCCGGAGCCAATGGGAGGCGGGCGCGAGCCATGTGCACGGGCTGGTAAACAGGGTGGGATGGAGGGGGCGGGGCCTAAGGACTGGGTGGATGGGTGGGTGGGGGTAGAAGAGAGTCTAGCAGCCGCTTGGGAGGAGCTTCCCCAACCGGGCGCCCTCCGGGAGTTCAGTGGTGGGCCACAGAGCGAGCTACGGAATGGAAGGGAATGGAATGGAATAGAATAGAATAGAAGGGAATGGAATAATGGAATGAAGAAGAGAAGAGAGAAGAGAGAAATGAGTAAACTATGGAATGGAATAGAATGGAATAGAATAGAATGGAATGGAATGGAATAATGGAATGAAGAATAGATTAGATTAGATTAGATTAGAAGAGAGGAGGAGAATAGAATAGAATAGAATAGAATAGAATAGAATAGAATAGAATAGAATAGAATAATGGAATTAGAATAATGGAATGAAGAATGGAATGGAATGGAATAGAATAGAATAGAATAGAATAGAATAGAATAGAATAGAATAGAATAATGGAATGAAGAATGGAATGGAATGGAATAGAATAGAATAGAATAGAATAGAATAGAATAGAATAATGGAATGAAGAATGGAATGGAATGGAATAGAATAGAATAGAATAGAATAGAATAGAATAGAATAGAATAGAATAATGGAATGAAGAATGGAATGGAATAGAATAGAATAGAAATAGAATAGAATAGAATAATGGAATGAAGAATGGAATGGAATAGAATGGAATAGAATGGAATAGAATAGAATAGAATAGAATAGAATAGAATAGAATAGAATAGAATAGAATAGAATAATGGAATGAAGAAGAGAAGAGAAGAGAATAGAGTAAAATATGGAATGAAATAGAATGGAATGGAATAGAACAGAACAGAACAGAACAGAACAGAATAATGTAATGAAGAAGAGAATAGAGAATAGAGTAAAACATGGAATGGAACGGAACGGAACGGAACGGAACAGAACAGAACAGAACAGAACAGAACAGAACAGAACAGAATAGAATAGAATAATGGAATGAAGAAGAGAAGAGAAGAGAAGAGAAGAGAAGAGAAGAGAGTAAAATATGGAATGAAATAGAATGGAATGGAACAGAACAGAACAGAACAGAACAGAATAATGTAATGAAGAAGAGAATAGAGAATAGAGTAAAATATGGAATGGAACGGAACAGAACAGAACAGAATAGAATAGAATTTTTATTGGCCAAGTGTGATTGGACACACAAGGAATTTGTCTTTGGTGCATATGTTCTCAGTGTACATAAGGAGAATAAAAATACATTCTTCAAGAATAAAAAGATACAACACTTAAGTGATAGTCAAGGTTACCAATAAGCTAATAAACTACATTCCCCTCTTCTAGCACTCGTTTGGGTATACAGATTAACAGAGTTGGAGGGGACCTTGTAGGTCATCTAGTCTAACCCATTCCCCCCCCCGCCCCCAAGCAGGAGACCCTGATGAAACGTCTGCAAGAAAAGAATCAAGGTCAGGGAGCACTAAGGACTGCACACCAAAAGTTCCCTTATTTGATAGTGTGGGAAGAAATATCCATCTGGTTCAGTCAGTTCCAAGCCGGGAGAAAGGCACCGGAGACAAAATGGAGGCTGATTGGAAAGAGAGTCCATTTATTGATGAATAGGACCACATGGCTTTATTTATTTATTTAGTTTGTCAAACATGTATAAGGTAAAGATATAAGTATAAACATGATTATGAATACAGGAAATGGATACGAATAAAAGGGAACATTAGGACAGGGATGGTAGAAACATTGGTGCTCTTATGCACACCCCTTACAGACCTCTTAGGAATGGGGTGAGGTCGACAGTAGACAGTCTAAGGTTAAAGTTTTGGGGGGTTGGGGAAGAAACTACAGAGTCAGGTAGCGCATTCCAGGCATTGACCACTCTGTTGCTGAAGTCGTATTTTCTGCAATCAAGTTTGGAGCGGTTTAGCTTAAGTTTTATCTATTACTGTATTTGCTCATGTATTGTTGTGGTTGAAGCTGAAGTAGTCATTGACAGGTAGGACGTTGTAGCAGATAATTTTACTTATTTATTTATTTATTGGTTCAATTTATATGCCGCCCTTCTCTGGAGACTCAGGGTGGCTTACAATGCGTTAAGCAATAGCCTTCATACTTTTGTATATACCTACTTAGTAGGGCTTTCGCCCCCCCCCAAGTGGTGTTCTTTTTTTTTAAATACAAAATCAGCTTATTGCCCCCACAATCCGGGTCCTCATTTTACCTACCTCGAAAGGATGGAAGGCTGAGTCAACCTTGAGCCTGGTGAGATTTGAACTTGCAGTAATTGCAGGCAACCGGTGCTATTTAACAGCACTTTAGTCTGCTGCACCACCAAGGCTCTTTTGTGTACTATGCTTAGGTCTGACCGAAGGCAGCGTAGTTCTAAGTTGTCTAAGCCGAAAATTTCAAGCCTGGTGGCATAAGGGATTCTGTTGTGAGCAGAGGAGTGGAGGATTCTTCTCGTGAAATACCTCTGGACTCGCTCAATTGTATTAATGTCCGATATGCAGTGCGGGTTCCAGACAGATGAGCTGTATTCGAGAATTGGTCTAGCAAAGGTTTTGTATGCCCTAGTTTGCAGTACAATGTTACCAGAGAAGAAGCTTTGCAAAATTAGGTTTACAACTCTTAGTGCTTTTTTGGCAATGCTGTTATAGTGAACTCTGGCGCTTAAATCGTTTGAGATGAGTACTCCAAGGTCCTTAACAGAATGAGGGTCGTCTATGAGGTCGTACCTGCCCAATTTGTATTTGGTGTTCTGAGTTTTTTTTATTTTTTTTTGCCAATGTGTAAGACAGAGCATTTGTTGGTTGAGATTTGGAGTTGCCAATTGTTTGACCATTCTGACACAAAGTCAAGGTCTTTTTGCAGGGGAAGCAGCATTATCGGTGGTGCAGCTGACCACATGGAGTTGAGAGTGGTTTTTTTTTAATACCTTCTCTTTGGCTTTGCACTTGAGCTTCCTGTTCCTGTGCAAGAACATGTATTCTATTGGTTGTTGTCAGACTCCCATGGGGCCATGTAGGGGTTATGTAGGGTCATAGCTGGCTCTATAGGCAAAGTACAAATCCTAGGCGTTTGTCTGAGCTAAGCGTGGTTGAAGTTTGGACTGCTCATGAAATGAAGGAGCTTGTTGGGCAATTCCTGTTGGGTGGCTGAGGGCTAATCCTACCTTCGTTCAGATCTTGCTGCAGGGAATTTTAAAACATCCTGTCTTGAATGGATTTCTGCCTGCAGTATTTTGCCTATGAATAGAGCTATCTATCTCTTTATCTCTTAAGTGCTGACGTCTGCTGTGGGCTATTAAGGAAGGTGGGGGCTGCTTTCTGTCTCCAAGAGCACATTTTTTCCCTTTAGGGAAATATAATATTCTGCCTTTTTAATATTTACTTAAACATTTCATTCTTCTAAGAGAGGGGTGGGTGCTAACTTCCGACAATAGTTCCCTAATTAACCCTAACTCTAATCAAGGAACTATCAAAGAGAACCCCCCCCCCAAACACTGGCAAGGCAAACCACTCGTACATAAAGAGAGAGCAAAACCCACTCTCTTCTAACACTGATGGCGTTACCTAATTGGGTAATGAAACGTCTGCAAGAAACCAATCAAACTCAGAGAGCACCGAGGACTTCCCTAATTTGATAATTAGAGTTAGCACTGTAGAATAACTTTATTGTCACTTTAAATGTACACTAATCGGCATACATTAAAATGAAATTTTGTTGTGTACAGCCCTCAAAGGGTCACCACCTCCAGTATACACTACATAAACACGACAAAATAATAAATAAAACTATCTCTTCCCCCTCCTCCTCCTCCTCCTCCTCCTCCTCCTTTTTCTCTCCTCACTCACAAACCCAACTCCCTTCTAGCACTGATGAAGTTACCTAGTTGGGTAATGAAACGTCGGTGAGAAAACAAACGAGCTCAGAGAGCATCAAGGGCCCAGAAGATAATCCTGGAGAGCTGGGTGCTCTGAGCAAATCCACACAACCAAAGTGATATTACGAAAACACAGCCTAAAAGCAACACCCATGTTCTGCTTTTACTGGTACTGCCATTGAAAGGGGGGGGCACCTCATCTTGCTTATTGGCTACACTTAGTGTTTGAAGGACCATTTTGCACTGGGTGACAAGTTATTTTGAAAGATAACATGCCCCCCCCCCCCCCCCCCCCAAGATCGAAAAAAAACAGGGGCAATATCGTTTATTGGACCAATAAAACTAGATAATTGGAGAGAATTAGAGAGAGCAGATTTTGTTTTTGTTTTTATTGAGCTAGTCAAATACATTACTGCCTGCTTTTATCAACTTAGCCTTATCTTTACTACACAGTAATCAGCATGTAGAGTTACAAAAGCTCTCAGCACTTTTTTTTTTCCCTTTAAAGAAAGCAATTTAACACCCTTTTTGTAACCTTCCACAGCCTAGCATCTCCTGAAGAAGTGGACCAAAAATAATTCCTAGGCTGAATGACTAAATATTGTAATTTTGGAAAAGTTAGTCCATGTTAGACCATTTGTCTGAAGTGGTGTACGGTTTCTTGCCTAGGCAGATGTTTATTCTATTCTATTCTATTCTATTCTATTCTATTCTATTCTATTCTACTCTACTCTACTCTACTCTATCCTCTATTCTATTCTATTCTATTCTATTCTATTCTATTCTATTCTATTCTATTCTACCCTACTCTATTCTACTCTACTCTATTCTATCCTATATTCTATTCTATTCTATTCTGTTCTGTTCTGTTCTGTTCTGTTCTGTTCTGTTCTGTTCTATTCTATTCTATTCTATTCTATTCTATTCTATTCTACACTACTCTATTCTATCCTATATTCTATTCTGTTCTGTTCTGTTCTGTTCTGTTCTACTCTACTCTACTCTACTCTACTCTACTCTACTCTACTCTACT